GTTCACGGTTAACTGTGCTACATAGGAGGGGATCCGGGGGGTTATGAGTAATGTAGGCGGTGGGATGCATTGAGTGAAAACCCATGAGTGTGTCAGCACAGTGCTGTCAACCTGTTAAGAGGTAGTAGTGCATGTATGTGTGTGTGGTGTGTGGTGTGTGTGTGTGTGTGTGTGTGTGTGTGTGTGTGTGTGTGTGTGTGGTGTGTGTGTGTGTGTGTGTGTGTGTGTGTGTGTGTGTGTGTGTGTGTGTGTATAGGTACGTACATGATGTAAAGAGATGTTAAGGAGCTTGTTCCAACATGCTGATGAGTTCCGTAATGCAATGTAGTTGTGATTCTCTGACAGAACTGAGGACGCTTTCCAGAACATCATCTCCATTATCTGTGTATACATTAACCTTGAGCACGGAGGCGGGCAAGTGGATGCCACACATACTGTACACAACCACACAACCACGCAAAGACACACACACACACACACACAAACAGGATTACACAGAGCAAACATCCCTGCGTGCATTCACATTAGTACACCGTATTTTACATTATGTAAATTAGGTAAAAGCTTGCATTTCACCACAAAGCAGTTTCACAGATCTAAATATGCATACGTAGAAATGAAGAAGTTGATACCACTGATGATATATGATGTATACTGCCCACTCGAATAAACACCTAAAACAACGTAAACTGAGGCTGATGCGAATTTAAGATTATTAAAAAAGAAATGTTAAGGCTAGAGAAAAAGTTAAGTAAAGTAAGACAATAGATCAAACAGATATGAAACGTGTAGAGCAATGGAGCACGGCTATAATCTGTTGTTTTATGAAATGCCTTATCATGCTTGCTGGATAGAAAAAGAAGGGTGATTGTGAATATAACTTTGCTGAAAACTAAAGTCCAAAAGGCTAACTTAACTCTCAAACCATAAAAAGACCAATTTTTCAGGGGTTGATAGGATATATTTAAGGAGGAGATTGCACATAGAAGTGGGTTACATTATTGGTCTAAGTGTTATGTTCTATAGTTTTTGCTCCAAACTGCATGGGTTTACCGTAAAGAGGGCATAGCTCTAAAGGGGAGACCTGGGACAATGATATTCAATTTGGTTCCGATATTTTCAGGTGATAGGTCAAGGGACCCCTTTGAACATGACTTTGCTAGTTTTCCACAACTGGTTTTAACAACTGACTTGTAAGTATATCTAATCTGCTAATTAAAATCATACTTATGGTGAGTTCCTAAAATCAAAGTCCAATGAAGTTCGAATTACATTACATGTTACTTGTTAGACGCTTTTATCCAAAGCGACTTACATACTCAATACTGTGGGCAATCCCCACAGGAGCAATTTGGGGTGAAGTGTCTCAGGGACACAACGACATGCTGACTGCAGTGGGGTTTGAACCTGTGCTCCCTTGATCCGAACACCAACGCTCCATCCACTGCGCCACACGCCTCAAATCTATTCCAAGTTTTTTCAACAGGTCAAATGATATGATACAGTGGGTGTGATGAGGAATACATTTGTTTCAATCCCAGCCAGAGGAGAGGAAACAATGCTTTTCAGCTTGGCGTTAAGTTACTCTTAATTCCTCTTTTTGTCTGCTCTCAGACGCTTTGAAAAGACAGATGTGAGAATGTCTAAGTCCCTTGCTCATCTCTGATCATTCAGGGAAGACAGCGGAGTTGCAGACTGGTGGGCTGCTGCTGTTTAAGCTAAAGAAGTGGAACCAGAAGTGCCCCTTAGAGAGGAATATTGCATAATCAACCCATCCCTCAGCCGAGAACCTTTATTGTCAAGGACATACGCTGGGAGCCTGCTAATGCTTCCGCTTCAGTGTACGTGTAGCCTACCGCTTAGCAGAATACAGCCAGGTGCAGGTTCAACACAGTTATAAAACCATATTGATCCTGATGCATTCACTGTGGGATGAGGCATTGTGAAGGTCTCCACATACAGTTACACATCCCTTTAAATACAGCATACACATGAGCAATACAGCACAGTCAGTCTTTAGTGAGTGTGTCTAAAAGCTCTTACACACCAATCTGACACCAAAGAACACGTCCCGACGGACCCGACTATTGTGTCGCCTCACGTCTCCTGCGTCTTGGCCAACAGTCGCACTGGAACACACCGCAAAGACTTCAGCCGACGGCCAAGTAGCTGTACGAACTGCGCATGCGTGAGTGGCAATAACTCTCCTTACCAGCAGGCGGCGGTAGTGTGTATTCGTCATTCAAAAGAAGCAACCGGAAGACAGACTGTGTACACCGAGAGAAGAAGAACAGACTGCGTGATATCAGAGCAATATAATAGAAGAGTTACGACAACGGAAGTCCAAAAACGGTTATCGTCACGTGGTTCATGTAGACGAGGATTGTTCCCCGGAAGTTCATGGCGGGCAATGTGAATGCATTGATAACAGGAGATAGAACTACGATTTTTGGTAATTATTAGTGAATAAAGGTTTTGATTTGCAATATTTATACAACAAATCGATATGTATGTATTTACATCAATATGTTTTAAAAAATATAATAGAATTTGCTAATATTAAGTGATAATATTAGGATTAGTGTGAACAACTAGTTTACATGTTAGGCTAACAGGGCCTTGGTTAAAGAGCCTGTTGCTGTTTATTTATAGCTTTGAATTCTTTAAAACCAATATTATCTTCTTAAACTTGTATGGTAGTCAGGAGCATCACTTTCTAATGTTTATTGATATATTTAGAGGGAGGGGATCTAAAGTAATGCTTTAAAATTCAGATTAGATTAATGTCTACCATTTTCTTAAATTCATGGTAGTTTCAGTAATCCCATGGTAATTAAGGACACAAGTTATCTAAATGACTAATGTCATCTTTATGGCTTTCAGAAAGGACAGGAGACCGACAGGTGACTATCAAAGGACTAGCAGCAGCAGCATGATGATGATGTTAAATGTGTTGTTTTAGGAACATCCATTGCAAATACATGGAATTCAATAAACATTGAATAGCATATCATGCAGTTTGTCGGTGCCTTTTCCTCCGTGTTGTCCTGGTTTGCTGTGCTGCCTCCTAGTCGCCACCAAGGTTTGCTGTGCTGCCTGGGGATGCTCCAATCGCTCAGAGAAAGTAGTACGAATGTACGGCTTCCCCACTGACACAGAGCGGAGGAAGCAGGAGCAATTTCACAACCAACAGCAAAAAAATATGTGATTTATATACAAACACTGCATTTGCACTTTTTCACAAAACGAAAACCACACCATTGGGAAAGCTTAATGTTTTGTTTAATACAAAAAACAGGGAAAGGCTTGAAAAACACTGAGAGTTGAGACTCAGGGTGCAGGGTGAGGGTCTCAGTGCAGGTATTCAGGCTCCATTGAATCCCCCTCTGGTTCTTGTGCTGAAAGAGGGAGTAACAGACAGGATAAAGGGTTATACACACCTATATAGCACACCTATTGGATGGGGAATTGCCTTGGGGAGATAAGTTATGGAACTTTATTATTTGTGAGTTTAACAAAGTATGACAATTGGCATCAGTAACAGATGTGATATGAATTTCTATAAAGTTGTCTCACATTCTTGGTCACATTGTATATACAGTATGTAATGAGTATAACATGTCCAGTAAGTATAAAGTGTTTCCTAATACTGTGTATTCAACCACTATGGAATATGTATGTGGGCAGACAAAAAAGGGACTTGAAAAACCTTGGTGGCTATCTACTCATGTTGTTATAGTTGTCTTGGTTACAGCTCTCAAGTTTTTTTTTTGTGCCATTTCCACATCTTTAGAAAATATGAAAAAATTGAAGTGAAATCAACCTCTTCTCTGGAGAACAAACTTCGATTTCTCTGTCTTGTGAGTTTGCAGTCTTGCTCCTCCACCTGTAACATCACTGCCCCTCCGAGACCTGCCATACAGTAGGTTACTAACAAGATGACTTATATAATACAGTGATAGAATACATGTTTAGTATGCTTACTTATATAAAACAGTAGTAATAAACTTACCTTGTGTTTTCACTCTCACTTAAGTCCCTCTCCCTTTGCCATCAATCCAAAATCAGCTGAGCTGCAACATTATACAGACAGGTAATAATCAACATAATCACAAGGACACAATATGGCTCTGCTAAAAACACTCACTCTTACACGCACCAAAGTTATATTTATCTAATATTTAACTCCCTCCACCCCCGCATACAATCCCGTTTAGAAGCCCCTCTTCTCTAATTCAACAACGTTGGACCAAATGACATTAAGAGAACAGAATTTACAATTAAAAGGCTGTTCAACGTGTGTTGCTAACTTGATTCGGTATCCTAGCTTAATCTGTTATCTGTAAACATTCCCTAAATCTACTAATTTAGGGATAATCCACTGACATCCTTTAATACACATGTTAATTTGAATCAGATGTACTGATAATATCCGCAATATAAATCTTTAAACTTCTTCTTACCTTTAAAAGTCCGTCACGAACGGTCTATGCTGCAACTCTACAGCTCTGCTAGCCTTGGCGCTAACTTCCGGGGAACGATTGAGAGGCTCCACGATCCGCCATTGCTGTAAAAAAGTGGTCCATTGGAGTGAACGGAGATGTCGTAACTCTTCTATTATATGGCTCTGCGTGATATAAACTAACAACAAATAGCGTGTGCGTTCCATTTTCACTCTACAGCGAGAAGCTCATGGGGCTTTCCCGAACCTGTGTCGAGAGCTGGAGTTAAGGCCACACCACACCAGGCCGATTTCGGCCGTTTTCGTTAGTCGGAAGACGAAGCGTGTCCTGTCGCCCAAACTCAATTTGGTGTGTCCCGCACCGTCGGCCGTGACACGCCTTATTTGGACTGCCTGACCCGATGCATGGCCGATTCAACATGTTGAATCGGCCATGCATCGGGTCAGGCAGTCGGACCAAGCAATCACTCTGATTGGCTGTTCAGCCAGCGAATCAGTGCATGAGAAGCGTAACGGAAGTGAGGGACGTAAACAAACGATTTGAGAAGGCACACACAGACTGATATTCATTTCCATCTCATCATGGCGATCTGGAATGACGGAAACGAAGACCTGCTCATCACCTTGATCCAGGAGAGGCCAGCTCTGTACGACATCACAGAGAAAAGGTACTCGAACCGAGTAGTGAAAACCGGACTCTGGCGAGAGATTGAAACGCAACTTGGTTTCTCGGGTAAGATTATCTTTTTCATCAATTGAGCTCTTTAGCAGATACTGTTGGCTTTGTATTGCTTGCCAGCGTACAGTGACGTTAACGTGAAATGTAATTTGTTATTTCAACCTTGTGTTTTGTTGTTATCTTGTTGCTAGCTGTTGCTAGCTGTGCAGTTTGGCACTGCATATAGATATTAATTGGACATGCTAACTAGCCACAATGCTTACATCGTTTATTTGTGTGCTTCAGAGAAAGAGCTGAGGAAGAATTGGGATTATATGCGAACCCAGTACACCCGGTACAGGAGACTTGCCCCTTCGGGTAGTTGTGGTCCAGTGGAGCACAAAGGACTGGCAGACAGCAGTGGATCATAACCAGGCTGCAGTTTTTAGAGCCCTACACAAGAAGGAAGGAGAGTACTTCGAACCTCACCATCATGGTAACTATTTTATTTGTTGAGTACAAATAAGTGTTTCTTGCTTCTTTCATTTACAAAAACATTATTTTCATTCATTTGGTGGTTACAGTGTGAAATATAACAATAACAGAATAATATATATATTATTGTATTACAATTATTGATGTGCTCATCACCTTAATGTTGCAGCTGGTAAAGGAGGAGCTAATTGAAATTACATGATATACTGCTGGGTAGCTTATGAAATTCACATACATGATAAAATATGTCTTGATTATATTTTGTAGTGTTCTGAATCTTCTAGAAGTATGTCTTTAGCATCTGAATAGAGCATCACAATGTGTCTACAATGTACCTCTCACACTTGACCACACCCCAAACTAATGGCACACACATTTCAGGGTATTGTTTTGTTATGAATGCTTAGTAAACAGTTTTAAGAAGCCATGGTATTAAATCCAACTAACTGTGAATTTATTTTAAAAAATGTAAGGAACTGCAGAATCAACCCCCGGTGGCACCAGCAGTGAAACCTCGACCAGCACCACCGAGGAGTCCTTCGGTAAGTTCACTCCCCTGGCAGAATCCACCATCTGCACCACACCGGCACCGCTCGGAAAGAGGCCAAGCACACTCAGCACTCGAAGGCCTCCGGCGAAGCGCAGGATGATGATACTAAATGAGACTGTCTACTGCTGTTCATTGTTCAAGATTGAAATGTAAATGTGCAAGCTGTTTTTCTGCCCCTCTATTCACATGTAGCCTTTCATACGTGATGGTTTCTTCATTCTCGAACTGTTGTGGAGCAGAACTATACAGTTGCAGGATTAGTCTCAAGTACCTCAATATAATTATAGTATGTCTGCACTTTATGTGCTCATTTCATAATTCATTCATGTATTTTATATTCTACTAAAACTGAATCAAACCATAAACAAGGTGGCCTTGTTTGCTCTTGCTGCTTGTTTTACACTGATTGTATATCTTATTTCTTACTGATGTAAAGCACTTTGAACTGCAATCCCCTGTATGAAAGGTGCGATACAAATAAAGTTATTATTATTCAGATGGATGTTTCTGCCCCTCTGTTCATTCTCCCATTATCCTCCTCAATCTGCCTAGAAGTATGTTAATGTTGTAGCTGTTACTATAACCAATACTAATGCTAGGGCTGCAACTGACAGTTATGTAGGCACATTGTTATTGTTTCTTATCGCTGTGTGATTAAAAGAATAAACACAAATAACAGGATAGGCAATGCAAAACTTTATTTCGTACCTTCATACACACATAACACAGCATTAGAATGAGTTTTTATCAACGCCTACATGATGATAACCTGTCAACATGCCAGGAAAATCCACATGACATTAATACAGAGCGGGCAGAACCCAAATCTAGCTCCAGTGCCGCACGAAACATGTTTTCGATGGACGAGAGTGAAAATGGAACGCACACGCTATTTGTTGTTTGTTTATATCACGCAGTCTGTTCTTCTTCTCGGTGTATCACGCAGTCTGTCTTCCGGTTGTTGACTCTTTTGAATGACGAATACACACTACCACACGCTACCGCCGCCTGCTGGTAAGGAGAGTTATTGCCACTCACGCACTGAAGTCTTTGCGGTGTGTTCCCGTGCGACACATGGCCAAGACGCAGGAGAACACGGCGACGCGTCGGCGAGTCCTCTGATGACTGCTTGGTGTGTCAGGGCCTTTAAATGAAATCTCAGATTTGCCTTCTTAATCGTTTGTTTGGGTCCCTCACTTCCGTTTTGCTTCTCATGCACTGATTCGCTAAGCTGAACAGCCAATCAGAGTGATTTCTTTAGCCGATGGCCTTTTACCGACAGCCTACCGATTCAACATGTTGAACCGGCGGCGGAAGGTGTCGGCACGGCCGAAAAGACACGACGGGGCGGGACACACCAATCTGAGTAGGGCGATTCAGATAAGGTGCCTTTTATCTTGCCACAAAGTGGATGTGGTTTGATGCAGACGTAAACCAACACAACCGAGGGCTTTGACAGATTGTAACAAATGGTAACCACAGCGAGTAGCACACTATTGCACTAGGGCCAGTGGAGGTCCCCTGGAAAACACACACACTTTAACACATTGTGTGCCTGTGAACACACAAACATCCAAAAATATTTAATTAGAATTGTTTTAGATGGGAAACTGTTAGAAAAAATATCACTCGTCACCGGCTTGATCTTCAATATCAGGATACATGTATTTATTATCCTTGCAAGAATGGAAGTAGTCATCACATACAGAGCTGCATGGGACAAATAGTTCCCTTGACCTGCTTACAAGAGAGGGAGTTACACAGTCACAAGATGGAGAATACCGGTTCAAACCAGTATGCTATGCTTAGTTCAGATTAGCTAAGGCCTGCGTAAACTATAAACATGACAGTCATATGTCTATCTCCATAGAGGCTGAATCATCATGTTAATCACATAGCTATCATATACCTAAAACAGTCCTGATGCTCTTCTAGGTAATCATACATCCCGTTACGTACACAGCTACGTAAGGCCTTTGTTATCATGTGCTACTCTGATATTGGAAGAGAACATCAAGTGGAAAATTATAACTTGCATGCATAATGACATGCTGGTACACACACATTTATTTCTATTTCTATTTTGAGATGTTTATATTTCAGAATTGTTTATTTCTACTCTTTTAATTAGTTATTATGTGCAAAAAAAATCCCAAATTTGGATTAATAAAGTACGTCTTATCTTAAATACAGGTGAACCCTCTAGCACATGCAGTGAAGACATTATGTTGTGTGTTGCTAAAGCAGCATTTGTGATCATTGATTTACGGGAGGGAGAGTTGAAGAACGGGTAAGATGGGTTTATATCTGAACTGCAGATGACCTAATGTTTGTTTTTTTCTTGTGTGAAAGACCATAGGCAAACTGTGCTCACTCCTCTGCGCTGTTAGAAATAAAGAGAACATGTTTGTGCACAGAGCATGAGATTTAGCGAATATAGCTAATGGCCGTTTAACAACCTCCAGTTCTATATGTGGTAAGCAAAGGGGATGGGAGCATAGCTCACTGAAAGTTGCCCTTTTCAAACCTCTGCGTTTACACTGTGAAATTGTAATCAAACTTGTGTACATGGAATAAAAGAAAATACCCATTTTTTGTTTGTTTTAGCATTTATTTCCAGCTAACTTAATTTCTTGGCCATGAGGCACTGTGTTCGACATTTTGGATGAATACCACAGCAATTATTATGGTAAATGAATGACAGATGGGGCTAGGAAGATGCTTTTATCCAAAGTGTTTTACATGTCAGTGGCTTCGCACATTTCAAGTATAATTGGTTGTAAGTGAAATGAAGAAGGGCTCCACGAACTTAGTTATTTTCAAAGGTGATCCTGAGGCACTGTTATGGACCGAGACACAGGACGCAGGACCCGAAAGCAGGACTCGAAGACAGTTGTCCTAAAATAGAATGTTCTTTACTACATCGTACTTTCAAAAAATAGAAAGTAGTTAAATAGCCAAAACGAAGTTCAAACCGGAGAGACGTGATATAAGGAATACATATTTATTGTTTACATGTCATATGAATGAAATGATTGCCATGATAATACAAAAGGAGAATGTAATGGTGTTTGGCGATTAGGCCCCGGTTTGCAGGATAATCATTCAGGAGGGAAAGAACCGCTCCGATGAAATCCCCGGGGTCTAGACACTGGTGGTGGTGATAAGTAGGTGGGACCGGTCTGAAGAAGGAAGTGTAGCTTTGTCCTGGAGGAGACGGGAGGCGAGAGGGGTGGAGGCGAGTTGCATGTAGTCACCTGAAATGACAACTGACAGGGAGGAAGAGCAGGCATTTAAAGAATTTAGCCTGTGCAGCAATTGGCTGCTGAGGGGTGACGCCCTCGTATTTAATGAGGGGGGAAGGGAGCAATAGAGTGACGTGTACGTGACTCATGTTAGGTCTTCCTTATTGAACTTGCGCTAAAGCTTTCATTTGTACAGCAACACAAAAACTCACTTGGCAAATGGTCTAAATCTCAAGGTATCAGGAGTCAAAAAGGCCCAAGTGCTCACGGCATGAAACATAACGAACTGACAAAGGAACAAAGAAACACCAGGGCTATATATAGGTGAGGGGGATGGGTACAGGTGAAAACAATCAGGGCAGTGCCAAGCAATCTCACGGGCGGGAAACACACAAAGGCAGGAAATGTGGGATCTGGAATGAGAGGAAAGATTACTTTCAAAATAAAAACAGGAAGTGACAAGATCAAAACACTAAACTAGAGTAAAAACATAACTAAACCTAACACATCTGTCGAGTCACAACAGGCAATGCATGCACAATCAGCAACTTAGATGCTTTTTTTGTTTTGAACATTTGATGTACAAAACAAATGACTTAGTTACTGTTGCTATGCCTATTTACCTTCCTGCTGCAGCCATAGACTGCTGCAGCCTGACAGAAATATATACACTTCACAGCAACTACGTACACATTAATACAGCACTTTGATTGCAAAAGGACACAATTCCAAATGTCAAAGATTGTAAGAGGCTATGTTCCTGTGTTTGTAAAAATCCCCCAAATGCTTTTAAACTAGGAACAAATCAAAGAAAGTCACGCAAAGAAGCATAAGGGCATGGGATATACTGTATGTTGACGTGGCATTTGTGTGGCATTCCCACATCATGAAGCCCCATATTGTCCAACACCAAGAGAAAAGAAACCATATAAGTTCCTCTTCTCCCTCCAAAGTAAGGAAAGTTGTGACTCTGCTAATACCGATCCAGGCTAGAGAGCTGAGGTAAAAGAGAAGGCAATGATACGGAATTTATCCAAAGCAGGAGGAGCTCGGGTTTCAATCTCCATGGATAATGTGATGTGGCATGGCAAGATTTTAGAGCCAGAGCTTTTGTAGGAAATGCTTCATTGTAAGGTGAATATATTAAAGAAACAATACAGCCTCTAGAGGTGCTGCTTGCCAGAAGGCACGTTACAGAATAGAATACATCCAGCCACCGAGTATGCAGTTTGAAAAAGTATACCCCACGTACCCATTGTTGAGGAACAGACATAAAGGATATGTTCAAGATAGGACAAATAGGACATGTACTAGCACCACAATATGATATAGGATTAGACATAGAGCTGTGGTTCTCTGGCTTCGTTAACGGAGAGGAAAGAAATGGGAACCTTCTTAGTGCAGTATGAATAACTTAGAAGGCTATAACACCTAATGTCATTATATTGTTTATTTACATTCATTATTCACGAAGCTGCCCCTGAAATGACACACCACAAGTCAATCATTTTAAAAAGGTAGAAAAAAGTCAAAAACAACACCGCAGGAGGGGTGAATTGTCGGCCACTGAAGTATCAAGTTGATTCAAACTTTATAATTCATACACTTTGAAGCTAACGTGCTGAAGGTAAACCATCAGTATAAAGGTTTAAATGACTATTTTCCCAAGGACAGAGATAGTCGAGTGTGTGTCTTGCATCTGCTGTATTTTATCCTCTGTCGGTTATGTCAAATAGCTGGTTTCTTTGACATCCATGCACAGAAATCTGCATGTGTCTTCATCCATACATTTCATCACATACATGAAAGCAAATGCAGAGGCAAATGCAAACAAAGACACACATGTGATGTGCGTCTGTTTGACAGGATACCGTAATTCTTCTTAAAATGCCTGAGACCAAAATATCAACACATGCATTCATTTCTACCTCTCTCTCTCTCACACACAAACAACAAGATCTTTATTATTTTATGCTGTCACTTCAAATTGATACATTACAACGTTAGGGATGCCTAATTTTGGACTGCTCAGTTCCACAGTGGTGGTAAATAATGAAAAGCGCTGTAGAGTAGAGAGCCCAGAGCTCATTGTGTAACGTCTGCCAGTTTGGGCTGACTAACCAAATCAGTCACTAGTGTGATAGATTTGTTTACCAAATCTTTTGACAAGGGAAACCTTATGTAACTGCCTGGGACTTGTGTTTGTTTGTGTGAGTTTGTCTGCAGGGATCAAGCCCCACAACACACATGTAA